CCCAAAGTTGGTCAGCTTCAAATGAAATTATTCTGTAGTGTTGAAGACTTCAAAGACACCCCGGCTTTGATACTCTATAAAGCCTATTCAACATTACAATTCCAGTTCAAGGTGGCCAACTACTACTATGTATACCATGACCTGGAGAAATGAGAGCCTTCAAACAACGGCTGGAGGAATGCCGAGTCAGAAGAAGACATGGAGTTGTCTGTGACGGTTCTTATTTCTCCAGGTCATAGTATAGATCGTAGTAGTTGGTCACCTTCAATTGGAATTATTCTGTTGTGTTGAAGACTTCAAAGCCACTGGCTTTAATACGCTACAAAGCGTATTCAACATTACAATCCCAGTTCCAGTTGAAGGTGACCAACTACTACTATCTATAGAAATACATGGTAACCGCACAGTTTATAACCAGGCTTTGTAGCAAGGTACACATGCAAGGGCTTACAACAATAAAAACACCCAAAAAGTTCCCAGAATACTTGCCAGCTAGCCTGCACACTTCACAGAGGAGCCTTGACAGGGCAGTGTGGCTTCTACATACTTTTGGCCAAAGGTTTGTGTCAGGGGCTTAACTAGAAATCACAGGGCCCAATAGCAAAATTTTGTATGGGGCCCTGTGATGTCTAGTTACGCCCCTTGAAGAGCCCCCCTGAGATCCCAAACAGCCCACCTGAGAGTGACCCTGCAGAGCCCACCATAGACTATGATAAGCTCTGCAGGGTCTCAGGTGGGCTGGCCACACCCATGCATACCGCTTACCTGTCAGCCCCGATCCGCTGTCAGCCTCCTTACAGCTGGGAAACTGGTGTGGGAAGGTCACACACCAGCTTCCCAGGTCTCTTCTTGTGCGCCAGCGTCATGTCCTCCCGCGGTGCTCCTGTGGCCGACGTTGCACATGGGGGAGAGGTGTCCCACCCCTTCCCGTCTACGACCTCTGACACATTCAGCCGCAGTAGCACCGCGGGAGGGACCTCAGGTCAGTGAGCTGATCGTGATCTACCAGTGTTCGTTTTATGATCGACTGGTAGGTCGCAATCGACCTAATGGGTACCCCTGCTCTATACCATGACCTGGAGAAATGAGAACCTTCAAACAATGACCGGAGGAAACCTGAGTCTGAAGAACTCAAGGAGTTGTCTGTGATGGTTCTCATTTATGTAGGTCATGGTGTAGATAGCAGTAACTGGTCACCTTCAACTAGAATTGTTCTGTAATATTGAAGACGTTTCATAGAACATCAAAGTTTGGATAAGTTACGAAACGTCGGGAGGGTGTTTGTTGAAGACAGAAGCTGTTCTTGTAGTCAGATACTGAGCGCCATGACCAATGCTCTCCATTGCAATCAATACCTCCAGGGCTGAACCCTAAACGATCTTTACAATGCAGATTGACCCAAGCTGACCTTCCCTGCTAAGTGACATTGATATCGGCAGAGCATTCTCACTATGTAAAGGGATTCTCTCTCTGGCTTGTCTAGGTCGGTTGAAGGAAATTTGTGCTGATCTTCTTATGGAAAATGCCACTTTACTGGATGACTCTGACATCAATGCTTTCAGATGCTGACCTGGAACAAACATGCCGACTAGGGATGCACCGATACGATACTAGTATCGGTATCGGTGCCGATACCGAGTATTTGGGTGAGTACTCGTACTCGCCCAAATGCTCCGATACCTAGCACGAGTACTTCCTGTATCAGGAAGCCGGGCAGTGCATCATTACACGCTGCCCGGTTTCCTGATTGGCCAGGAAACGGCTCCATGCTCTCTCGTCACTGGTGATGAGAGAGCATGGAGCCGACTTCCCCGCCAATCAGGAAGCCGGGTAGCGTGCAATGACGAGCTGCCCGGCTTCCCGATTGGTCAGGAAGCTAGCAAATTCCGAAACCGGGCGCAGTGTAATGACGCAGCGCCTGGCATTCTGATTGGCCGGGAAGCCAGCGTCATGCTCCCTCGTCATCTCATGAATCATAATATTAAGAAAGTGACCTTAAAACATTAGTTTGTATTGCTTTAGAAAAAAATTTGACCTGTCCCTTTAAGAAAAAGTATCGGTAATTGGTATCTGCGAGTACTTGATCAAAAGTATCGGTACTCGTACTCGGTCTTAAAAAAGTGGTATCGGTGCATCCCTAATGCCGACCAATAAATTCAGAGCGCCTGATCACTATACATGTTTCGAGTCACTGAATTAATACTGAAGCCACTGGATCAACAGGATAGCCAGGGAACTAGGAGAGATCAGCAACGGCAGCCTCCATACTTCCTGTTTTGAAGAAAACCTGTAAAAAATGCCATTGCCTACATGCCTCTTAACATGCTAAGTGCCTGGCTGTCTCTTGCTTCAGTGTTTTCTAAGTTGATGACCTGACACAAGTGGGCAGCCAGTGAAGTCAGAACTCTTGATCTGGAACTCTTGGGTCAGGTGGTTCAGAAAGAGGTCAACAACAGCAGCTTCCATATTTTGCTCATCACAGGTTTCCTTTAACTCACCATTGCTCATTCAATGTTACTATATGGCCATCATAATCAAGGAATTTCTTTCCACCTTGTACAATGAAATGTTAGCGGTGGACTGGCCCTATAATTAATAACTACACATAAAAAAATGTAACAGAATTTAATGGGGTTGTGTTAGGCCCAAAATGTCAAATCAGAATACGATTCTAAACAAAGCAACTAGTGATAAAGGATAAGTACACTTTGTATTAAAGTGCATTTATCTATTTTGCCTCCTTCCTACCCCCCCCTGATGTGTACTTATCTTGATTCAGTAGTTGCAGTTTCGCTGTTTGTTTACATCCAGCACCAGTCTTCCCTGTCCTGGACGTGTCTGCACATTAGAGCCTGGCTTTGAGACATACCCCCCATAGACAACTATAGGAGCATGCCTGGCCTTGAGACATACCCCCCCATAGACACCTATAGGACCATGCTTGGCCTTAAGACACAGCCCCATAGAGGTCTTTAGGACTGTGTCTGGCCTTGGGACACAGCCTCATAAACATCTATAGTACCATATCTAGCCTTGAGGTACAGCCCCAGAGACTTCTATATAACCGTGTCTGGCCTTGGGATACAGCCCCATACATGTCTATAGGACCAAGCCTGGCCTTGGAGCACAGCCCCATAGATGTCTATAGGACTATGTCTGGCCTTGGAGCACAGCCCAATAGATGTCTATAGGACCATGCCTGGCCTTGGAGCACAGCCCCATAGATGTCTATAGGACCATGCCTGGCCTTGGAGCACAGCCCCATAGATGTCTATAGGACTATGTCTGGCCTTGGAGCACAGCCCAATAGATGTCTATAGGACCATGCCTGGCCTTGGAGCACAGCTCCATAGATGTCTATAGGACCATATCTAGACTTGGGGTACAGCCCCAGAGAGCGTTTTTTTTTTCGTTTTTGCTTGTTAGCAGTAGATATATGCAAAAAAACGAGAGGGTTTAAAATATCCTTTAAGGCAGAGCTCAAAATTCAGCCGGTGTATTAGGGCTTTCACTCTCTCTGTCTCATGCTGATGCGGCCCCGCTGACAGACACGCCCACACCAATGCTGGACTCACTGAGTTTCCTTTGCTAGCAGACACGCCCACACCTCTGCTGGAAGTGCCGTGTCCGTGTGTGCATTGGATGGCCCTGAGTGTATTCCGTGGCATAGTTCAGAGTCTATCGCGTTGGAGGGTTCGGATTCTTTTTACTACTTATTTTCCTTTTAGTTTATATTGCGTTATGTTAATATTGTTAAAGTTGTTATTGTTAATATTTATTTTTGTAACTTTATTCTGAATGAAACATTTAACAGTATAATTTCATGAGATAATTTAAGAGGGTGTGGTTAGGGGCGGAGTTAAGGCCAGGACAGGGTAGGGGTTAGGTGGGGCAACTGGTGGCGAGTAACTCTTAAGGACTGGCTAGTAGTTCAGAACCTGAAATTTTGAGCCCTGCTTTAAGGTGTCACTGCTGCTCCTTTCGGAATAAACAACCGGGGCAAAGTCGTGCACTACTGAAGCCACCCACCTAGCAGGATACAGGATGAGTGACGACACTAGGAATTCAGGCGCATTTACAGTAATAACATGAAAGGACAGCAGGTTGGTTTAGTGTGCAGGAAAAATATAGAATACTTTAATTTGAGATTTTTTTTTTAACTGATAGGTCTTCATATGACACCAAATGGAAGGGTAACATATAGGTGATGCAACACAAATAGAGTGAGCTTCAAATATAGTCCTGTACTGATCTTCAGCGTTGTGGAGTCAAGTACAGAATGAACTGGCAGCATATAATCAGAGACCATTCCTCCTCACCTGCCATGGTCTCTACTGGTGGCAATGCCTGTCAGTACTCCCCTTCCTGTATAGGGAAATAAGCCCGGTGACTGGCAGGTGTGGAGGTCTACATAGAGACACTGCTGAGAAGATCAATCAGCTGTAGCCGCACTATAAGGCCTTAGGAAGCCATGATGAGCTTTGTCCGTATTGGGCGTCCATACCATAGAGCATGTCACATGACCGCTGTCCAAGTCATTATTTGGCTCCATCGCCGTGTCTTCATTTGCTGGGACGCGCTCTTTTCATGAATATACTGTTCATTTTCCTTCTCTGTTTCTCCCGATTTCCCATCTTGCCGAGCCCGGCTCCATCTATCTTCTCCAGTACTGTGAAGAGACACGGAATGAGAAGCCATTACACACATAAATACGCTTCAAACGACTGCAATTCTCATGGTAAAAACTTAAATAAGCCTTGGGGGAAATTCATTTATTGACCTTTTTAGGGAAGGCAGTTGTGAGTCTCATTTAAGGTGTGATTTATCCTCTGGCTGGAATTGTATTTTATAATCTACCGCTGGTTATAGTTTATCATAACAACACATAAGGATTAATTATGGCATGTCACAGCATTTTTATGGCTTTTAGTATTATTGCACAACATTCATTATTTTACTCATTTATAGAGCGCCAGTGTCTTCGCCGAGCCTCCCGATCTCTGCTCCGGAGAAGATTACAAGGTAATGACAATCAAACAGGGATACAGGCACACATATGTAATGGTCAGTTGGGTGGAAGGTGATGAAAGCAACACTATAGGGTCAAATGTGTATGCATCCCTGGCGTAACAACCCGGGGGGGGGGGGGGGGGTGTTGGGACAGCCGGTGCGCTGGCCCCAGGCGTAAAGCTGAAGGGGGGCGCCGGCCGAAAATGGCACTTTTGGCTAAATGCCGAAAGTGCCCTTCTCCTGCCATTTTGTCGTTGCAGCCGTGATTTCTCTCCTCCCCGCTGGGCTCTGCTCTGTGTCCCAGCGGGAGGAGAGAAAGTGACAGCCGGCCGAGCGCTGCGGAAGGAGACCGCCGCGAGCGGCCGGTGTCTCTCCTCCCACACCGCTCAGCCGCCTATCACAGTCCGGCAGAGCGGTGTGGGGGCGGAGACAGCCCCCAAGTGAAAGGTTTGTGGATCCATGACCATCACACCTATCTATATGGTGAAAGGTTTGTGGGCCATCAGACAAATCTAGATGGTCAATACTGGTATACTCAGTGTAGCAGGAATTAAACCCAGGTCATCAGTGATGCTTCTCAAATCTCTTGAAAAAAAGAGTCTCAGTAGAGCCTTCACAAAACAGAAGTTATACCGGTATGTATGTATCACCGATCAGAAAAATAAGGGGTTTATTCCCCATTTAGCATAGTGGAAGCTCCCCTGTGCCCTTGGCCCAACTGTGCATCCAGAACCATGCCATTTACAGTATTACAATTGGCATACAGCTGTTATAGCCTTTTTGGCCATTACCAGTGCAGTCTATGCAAACCAAGGCCAATGGGTAAGTCATAATAATGGTGGCCTCCAGTGCTCCCTTGAAATATGGTTTACTCATAGTAATGATGGGTGCCATGGCACACACGATATGAAGAGGAACCAGCTTGGATCATTTCAGAAAAACAATCACAGCATCTGAGGAAGGTAAGTATTATTCCAGGTGGGCTGCCTGAGGGGGTGGGGGATTTATTAAAGGACAAGATCACTGAAGGTGATGTTCCCTATTATTATTATAAAATTTGATTTAAAATCCAACAGGGAGACCCCTTTGCAATGGACACAGAAGATGTGCAGACCTGGGAAATCAAGCTCAGAGATCTCACTATTGCAGACTCCGGAGACACAAGAAACTGAAAGTTTAACTCTGCAACACCTAGCAACCATGAACATCAGTTTTGAACGGACTATCGCTTAATGAAACTGACCTCTAAGCAGAATGATATATGAATTAATTTGCATTTTTATTTTGCATATTTAATTTGCATTTTTATATTATAAGTAGTGTAAGTAATTCGTGTAGTGCTTAAATTTGTCTATGTACCAGCCTCTTGCAATTTCCAGTACGGGAGCACTCAGCCTAGGAGAAGGCGGTGCAGCACTGGGAGAAGGCGGGGCAGCACACAGTAGCCAATCAGGTGTGCTGCATGCACATGCTGACACAGAAGAGTATAATTTGAGGGATACGGTAATCAATGTTCTTGTTGCTTTACTGTCCAGTCACAGGCATTGGATGTAGAGATGACCAAGTTGTATTGTTCAACTGTAGTAGAAAGAAAACCCAGGTCACCAGCCACCGCACCCACCCAGGTTACCAGAGTAGATCTGAGGACTGGATGGACAGAAATTCTAATTCTTTGGCAGGTAGACCAGCTTATCTATATGTGCTTCATCTGTGTATTTAGCTGCTTGCCTGGAGTCAGTTCTTATCATCCTTGAATCCTCCTAGGCAGAATTTGGACTCCTATCTTTATCTCGGACTGATGTGACACTTGGCCGTCATTAATCTGCATGACCCCCTGAGACGGGTCTTTCCCTGAAGTGTAGAGACCTTTTACTTTTCAAACTAATGGGATATTAACGCGTCTGCCGAATAAAGACTCTGACTCTAAGCCCTGTGTAAAGGTCACCTCTTACTAAAGCCTTCAACGCATTTATCTAGACTTCCAGGTCAATACATCAGATTAATATCGTTGTCACGGAAGATTCCATATAAAGGGTAAAATAGACTTTGCAATGTTGTTCTTTTTTAACAAACAAGTTTTATCTTCTAAAGGTCGACCGTCTGACTGAAAACAACTCTCTCCATGTGTGGCAGATATCGCTTCCGTACCAGGAGGAAGTTCCATGACATCTCTCTTCAAATGTAATCACAATGCAGAAAACACTAACACCCTCCATGTTCCTGGTATAGCTATTCGCCTGGCATGTGTAAATATACCTCTGCAATGGCACCCGAGTCCTGACTACACTGCTCAGTTCACTCAGTTATCTAACAGCTGGTGAGACATGCCCCCTCTCTTCCTCAGGCACAACCCCCTCTCTGAACACACCCCCCTCCCCGCCTCACACACATCCCCCTTCCTGCCTCAGGCACATCCCCCTCTCTGCCTCAGGAACATACCCCTCTCTGCCTCAAGCACACCCCAATACTTCCTCAGGCACGACCCCTCTCTGCCTCAGGCATGCTCCCTCTCTACCTCAAACACGCCCCCTTTCTTCTTCAGACATAACCTGTCGTATACGGACATGCCCACTTTCTTCGTCAGGCACGCCCAGTCTTCCTCAGGCACGCCCACTCTGTTCCTCAGACACGCCCTCTCTCTTCCTCAGGCACGCCCTCTCTCTTCCTCAGGCACGCCCACTATCTTCCTCAGGCACGCCCACTCTCTTCCTCAGGCACGCCCACTCTCTTCCTTAGCTCTACAACTGGGCACTTGTGAGGGGTAATCAGTTAAAAATGATAAAAGTGAATGTAAACCCCAACACTGAACTTATTTGATCTTTTGGTGCGCATAAAATCCCTGTTGCTCTTGTCAGAAACTCAGACAGCCCTGTGACCTCTCCATCCTCCCTGTGCTATCTCAAAGAGTCCCCCCCCCCCCAGTTTTTATCTTGGACTACAGAATAATTAGCTTTTAGGTTGTAGTGATCTTAGATTGGGAATGTTTGAACAGTTTAGCAGAAAACACTGGACAGGGCTGACACCACTCAGTCCACAAATAAGCTGTGTTTCCGGCTTACAACAGGATTTAGGAGCCAAGTGCATTTTTAGATGAATCAACAGGTATTCTTCTGGACCTGCAGGGTATATATATTTTTTTGCCTTAACATAAGCATTAACTCCTTAATGGCGGTCATATGCATCAATGTGGCAGCACAGCAGTGGGCATTATGCTTCACTGCCACACATATGCTTTCTGCCACTGGCACTGTGTTGTACTGGGAGCACGCTCAGTCAGCTCCTCCAGCACTGTGACCTCACTCTCACTGACAGCTCGCACTCACCTACCAATGATTGACAGCCAGTAGGGCGGGTACCAGATCAGGTGATCACTGCGACAGCCAATCACATTGATCACAGGATTGGGAATCCCATGTATTGCCTCTGGCCTTATGGTCTCTTAAAGGGCCGGCTCCCCCAACACTGTGGCCATGCTGTCAATTACAGCTCCTAGTCATCTAGCAATGATTGCCAGCCAGTAGGAAAGGCACCAGATCACGTGATCACAGGATCAGAAAGCCTAAGAAAAGCTTCAGGCTTTATGTTCTCTTAAAGGGCCGGCTCCCCGAGCACTGTGACCTCCCTGTTACTGACAGCTCCTGGTCACCTATGTTTGGGAGACAGTAGCGTGGGCTCTGGATCATGTGATCACTGTGACAGCCAATCACATTGATCACAGGATTGGGAATCCCATGTATTGCCTCCGGCCTTATGGTCACTTAAAGGGCTGGCTTCCTCAACACTGTGGCAATGCGGTCACTTACAGCTCCCAGACATCTGCCAATGATTGCCAGCCAGTAGGACGGGTACCAGATTACATGATCACTGTGACAGCCAATCACATTGATCACAGGATCAGAAAGCCTAAGAAATGCTTCTGGCCTTATGGTCTCTTTAAGGGCCGCCTCTCCGAGCACTGTGACCTCCCAGTCACCTAGCAATGTTTGGGAGCCAGTAGGGTGGGCTCCAGATCATGTGATCACTGTGTCAATCACATTGATCACAGGATCGGGAAGAGCATGTAATGCCTCTGTCGTTAGTCTCTTAAAGGGCCAGCTCCCGCAACAGGATGGGGTTAACATAGCAGTAGAGGACTATATAGAGAAAAAGCGGGTTAATTCATCCGGGTCTTAGTAATTTCTCATTGACAAATACAATATAAAACCACATCGGGACTCCCTGGTCGAGTGTGATCACATTTTTGATTTGTGTTCATTCTTTCCCCTACCTATCCCCTTGTTACCTTATGAAACTGCATCTCATTCTTATCTGCAGATGCTGCATTCAGCTGATCCAATAATCCACACACAGGTTTTTCACCAACCATTTCCCTCTGTGATCCCCCC